GCCTTCCCTTTGCAAAGTCTTTGGCCACAATATTGCGACATTTCCTGGTATTACTACCACTTTAATGTCGTAATTCTACGTCTTTTTTTCTCGAAATGTTATAACTTTTTTCTCAAAATATTACTTTATTCTCGAAGTCTACTATTTTTATTTTTATTAACAGTGGCCTAAAATGCCATCGTAGACTTATACATAAACCTCAGCAAATAAAGAGCACGTATGATGAAAAAAGTTACTTTCATGATACAAAAAAACAACGCTTAGGTTGAATCTTGAGAAATATTTGTCTGACTTCTGTCAAAATTCACTGATGACATTGCTATGAGAATATGAGATGACCAAAAGCATGTTCCATTTGAACCTGTTTAACTACCTTAAAAAGTCCATATTGTGTTAGTTTGTGCCATATTCTCCCCTACATTTACCTTGTTCCTACACTTATTGGCTATTTTATCAGATACACCTACCAAACAAGTGCTCTTAGTTGCTCTTACACTTTTCTGGAAAGAGACCACCGCTCCATAGATATTATTTGGGTGGTGACCCATTCTCAGCAGTGATACCAACATTGTAGCGGCACACAGCAGTGATACCAACATTGTAGCGGCACACTAGTGTATGTTCTGCGCCGGAAGCAGCATTGCTGGAATTTTTAAATATTTCAGAGTCACTGCTGGGTTGAGAACAGTCCATCAACCAAATAATCTGCGATTCCTGGGGGTCTTATGATAATGCATGGGGTAGAGGGCAGCTAATAAATTGTACAGCAACTGATGGGCTACAGTCAGTAATTGCTACACTGAACAAAGTAATCCACTGAATTTACTTGATGCAAATGTGCCAATATGACCCTTCATTTATTTAGTTTACAGTCAAAATGATCATTAAGTACAAGTTAATTATTTTTAAAGACATATTTATGAGGAGATTAGATTAGTTAATTTGCCCACATAAGGAAGGGTAAAATCATAGAAAGTACGTCAACAGGATTATTTTAAAAGTTTTTTTTTCAAATTGGAGTTGGAAAAATATTAAAAGATGTACAGAAAAAAAGATTCCTAATAACTGTACAAAATTAATAACTAAATAGTCATTATGACCAGAAATTAAATAAATGAAGGGTGGTCTCTGACTTGCACAGTACTGTGCATCATTTTCAAATGAATAAAATATATTAAGTTCACTTGCATGGTAGGTGTTTTTAATAAACTGGCAACTTATTGTAATGTGATATTAACTTCCAATATCCTTTATGTTCTTCTTTTTCGAGAAAAAATATGGTCAGTTTTGGTTTCACTCTAGCCAGCAGCTTCAGTAATACGCAGTGATAAGTATCATTTTCTGACTGATTGTCTAAGGTGGAGCAGTCAAAAGCTTGATCCTCATGGACTACGGGACTAAGCACTCAGTTTAAAGGAAATCAATAACCCTTCCCAAACAAATACTGCCTGAGAGGGCCACAGAGTGTTAGAATTCAAAGCAGGAGCAAAGAGAGCAGAGGGTCAATATTGCCACAATAGCTACATTTACCCTGTTAAAGCATTATATCTATGTGTACTAAGAAAAGCATTTTATTCAAAGGTAGTTATGAGCAGTGCTTTATGTATCATTGCACATTTTTAAGCTTCTAGATTGTGTCTTGGCTAAAAGAACAAATGTGAATACCATTTTCCTGGGATTCATTGGGAGGTCAGTTGATCAATTTTTTTGACACTGGATTATACTGATCTATGAATTTATATTAAGTTGTACAATACTGTGCAAAAGTAGGAGACCATTCTTTCATTTATTTAATTTCCAGTCAAAAGTCATTAAGTACATGTTATTAATTTTTGCCAGGAAAAAAGAAGGAAACATATATTTACCAATAAATATAAATTGGGAAACTTGCTTTCATTTTTTTACATTAATCTGCAGGGATATTTTTCCACACATTCAAATTTCAGTCTTGGAAGTTACATGTATTTTCTGATTTTCTTGGTCTAAGCAATGCCCATAGTGTTGTCTTCTCACAGTGGAAGCATGGACAGAAACACCTATAGATTTCTTATATTTCTAAAGCAAGAGTGGAGTTTGACCTTCTCTTAGAAATAAAAGCTTTAAATACTGTTTATCTCATTGTGGTCAGTTTCGTGGTCTACCAGACCATGGTCTTGCCTTGGCTGAACCTTCAGCTTGCTAAACTTAAGTGTCTAGGAGTTACAAACATAGGCCATAAGATGCCTTGCAAATGAAACTAAAACAGTGGGAATGAATTTGAAAGCATCAGTGCAAAACAAAGTACTAAGTAACTGCTCTATTTTCCCTCAGAACTGCTTTAGATTCAACTTCCTATAACAGAATCACCTTGAAAAGAAAAGGGCTCAGTCCATTTTTAAACACAAAGTTGCCAACACAGAATTTGCCATTTCTTATATGCAACCCCGTTACCAAAAAAGTTGGGATGCTGTGCAAAATGTGAATAAAAGCCAAATGTAATGATGTGCAAATCATGCAAACCTCATATTTATTCAAAAATACTATGAACGCAACATATCAAATGTTGAAACTGAGAATTTTTTTTTGAAAAATATATGCTATTTTGAATTTGATGCCAGCAACACATTTTTGAGAAAGTTGAGAAAGAGGCATGTTTACCACTTTATTGCATCACCACTTCTTTTGCCAACACTCTGTAAGCATTTGGAAACTGAGGAGACCAAGAGCTGTAGCTTTAAAAGTGAAATATTTTCTTTTTCTTGCTTGATTTATAATTTTAGCAAATGTTGTCAATGGGTGACAGGTCTGGACTGCAGGCAGGCCAGTTTATCACCTGGACACTTTACTACGGGGCAATGCTATTGTAACACATGCAGAACATGGTTTAATATTTTCTTACTGAAATAAATAAAAAAATAAAATAAAATAAGGCCTGGGTGGCAGCATATGTTGCCAAAACCTGTATATAGCATTCAGCATTAATGGTGTCTTCACAGATGTGCACATCATCTATGCCATGTGTACTAATGCATCCCCATATGATCACAGATGCTGGCTTTTGAACTGTGTGCTGATAACAAACTGGATGGTCTTTAGCCCGAAGGACACAGTGTCCATGATTTCCAAAAAGAATTTAAAATTTTCTTTCATCGGACTACAGGACACTTTTCCACTTTGCCCCAGTCCATCTTAAATGAGCTCGGCCCCAGAGAAGGCGGTGGCATTTCTGGATCTTGTTTATTTTGTATTTATTTTGTATATATACATGGATCTTGTTGTTTTGTATTTGTGGATGCAGCGACAAACTGTGTTCACAGACAGTGGTTTTCAGAAGTGTTCCTGAGCCCATTCAGTGATTCCCAGTACAAAATAGAGTCTGTTTTTAATGCAGTGCCATCTAAGGGCCCAAAGATCACGGCCAGCCAATACTGGTTTTCAACCTTGTCGCTTGCATATAGAGATTTCTCTGGATTCTCCGAATCATTTAATGATATTATGTACCATAAAAAGACTCTCTAGGATGCCTTTGCAATCATGTTACTGTCCTCTTGCCAATTAACCAGCAGGTGTTTTTGATAGCATTACACTTTACCAGTCTTTTGTTGTCCTTATTCCAACTTTTTTTTTAAATGTGCTGCTGGCAGCAAAATATATTTTTCAAAAATTAAAGTTTCTTACATTCAACATTTGATACGTTGCCTTTGTACTACTTTCAATTAAATATCAGGTTGAAATAATTTGCACATCATTTCATTTTGTTTTTATTTACATTCTGCACAGCGTCACAACTTTTTTTGGAAAATAGGTTGTATTCATTTGCAAATACTACTTGTATTTATGTTGACACCCATAAGCCAGAATTACTTCTGTAAAAGTTTTATCAAACATATACGCAAAAGATGAACAGTGTCCCCTATCTTGCACTGGTTACAGGGATCTTCAAATGGCAGTCATTCATTATGGATTATAAGACTTTAATAAATCTCTAGGCTAAACTGAAGCTGCTGTTTACGCCAACACTACAGCTGACCTTCTCTCTGATCCTCAGTAATTAATGTTATTTGCATAAAAACACCTGGCCTAGGAATCCTAATTACAAAAACAAGAGCAGTAAGTAGAACTGGCAGAGAAAACTATGGTTACGGGGCCAAAAGGTAAAGGTAAATAACTTTGCAGTAGAAGCATTATGCTGATTTACTGTTTGTCTAGAAATATAGTCTGGAAGTTACGCTAATCTAGTAGTCAAATAATTAAGATTGGCTTAAACTGTATTTTTATAATCTTCCATAACAAGGTCAACAATACATGTTGCTTGCAGTCTGTGCTACTTTTCAGTCAGCAGTGAGGACTGCATTTTCATTCATCATAAAAGTCCACCTTCATCAGTCTGGACTATTTCTTTCCTTGGATACATGAGCAGCCAAACAACAATCAATCAGTTACGTCAACGCAAAATAAACACTGTGCCGGTGCAGCTTTTTAGAGATGGATTTTACAGTAATGTAAGTAGATATGGCGTTTGAAATGTAGTGTACCTTGCTGCCAGTTAATCACATTTAATGGTTTCTCCCATGACAAGAAAGCAGTTCTCAGTGGAAATGATATTATGCCATTTTAAAGTGTTTTATTATTTATCCTGTGTATGCTTGACAATTATAAGCCTAGTTCAATTCTCAGTTTAGCTCATTCAATTTATTTGTATGGTTCTTGTTACAACAGACACTGCCAAAGTGTGGCTTTCCAGACCCCAAATGAACAAACTGAGGTTGAAAGTGGCAGGAAAAACTCCCTATAACAGCATGATGAAGAAACACTGACAGGAACTAAGCCTCAAAAGAGAATACCATCCTCCTCTGGGCCACAACGGACAGTGGAGTTAAATCAACTGCACCTAAATACTCCTATTTATCCTCTGGCCTCAAATCATCAAAACACATCACTTGTATAAAAGATTTAATGCAGAAAAAAACCTTGACAGTGATGGACAGTCTGCAAATGGAAATGATTTCCTCTAAACTTACCGTGTACAGTAAAGGTGCATGTCCAAGCTTCAGCAGTGCAATTTTATTGGTCGCATTCATCTGAGCTCTGACCCATCTCAAATCTTCAGAACTTCCATACTGTACATCCACCACTTCTGCCTTAGAAGATAAAAAATAATAAATATCAGCCTTGGTATTTTTTGGGCCCTGAAAATATTGGCACATCACTTAAGTCTTATTTTTCTTGGGTGTGTAGCTGATAACAGAACATTTTAAGGGTCGTCTGTTTTGTTACTGCATTTAACACCAGTGTAAATGAGATGCATTTTCATCATTTATATAAAAATACATAAGAGGAAATATGCCTGCCATGTGCTGACTAGTGGTGAGGGGATAAACTATGAAACAAAAGATAGAGGATTCATGAGGCTTTACTTTTGGCTCTGGGGATGGGTAGAAAACAACACCCTCCACTCTGTCATGGCTTCAGTTGTCTTTTAAAAGTGCATAGGAGCTGAAAAGTGGCTAGCAATGGTTGCTAAACAGGGATTGTAGGCCTAAGAAACATGGAATGAGTCTTGAGATGGTCTGCCTGGCTCAGTCCCTTATATTGACAGTCCAGTTAGGTCTCTGCCCTGTAGCACAGTTTTGTCACATACTAGATACTATACTGTACACAACCGATGAAGAGTAGCATGCAGTATACAGTTTATACTGGTGCAGTATGCAGTACACAGCTATTTCACACACAGCCATTGTCTTGCTTATTTCAATCCCAATTTAACTTAGCAAAGATAGAAGCCAAACTGAGAGACATATGTGAGTGTTAATAATCCAAAACCAACTGCAGGTGAGTGTGATAATGAATGGGAGGAGCCAAGGTGGAGCTGAAGCTGGAGTGAGCCAATTCAGGCTGGTCAAGTGCAACTGGAGTCTACCCAGAGACACCATGACAACTATTCTATAGGCTTATTAGCCATGAGATGTTCACATGTAACAGGCAGCAAGTGTTTTCAAATGGTGTAAACTAGTAATAAATGAAAAAAATGAGATTTAAGGTGTTGGTGCAAACAACAGACAAAAACTAGGTTCAAATATGCTACAAAGGATGTGGATGTGCTGTTTCATTGTGAGAATACTGCAGTGGCCATACGCTCAGTGTTAAAATCGTAGATATAAGAGTTGAATAAAAGTAGCAGCTAAGGTGGAATGCTATTTAAAGGGCCGGAGCTACAAAGCTGGCAATGCATCACCTGTCCTCAATTCATTTTTCAGAAGGCCTGAAGGCAAATTAAATGAGATTTCAGAGAGGAGAGCACATCCCGCTTGGTTTGGCAGAACTACAAGACCACAGACATGCGAACTTTATTACATGTATCAGCGCTGGCATCATACAAGCATCCTGTCTAACTCTACACTAGAGGCAGATAAATTGGGAAACAATGAGATTTGCACTGAGAGGCTGTCATTAAGGTAATGAAGTTAACGAGGGTATGCATTACACAGAACACTTTGGCGCTGTTCACGAGTCATCTCACACCCGCTGCTGCATTCCTGAATGCAGGAAGAAATAACAATTGTTTTCGCATCTGCTTGATTGAGGACCAGAAAGAAATATCCACCCGACAATTAAACATTATTTTGAGGAGAGTGGTAAATGTCACCACAATCAGGCACTGCTATTAGGAGGTAGACAGAGCAGAGACCCGCCTGCATAAGACTGAGGCTTCACATCCATTAACCCATGCGATGTAATGATGCATTGAAAACAGTGGGACACAGCAGTGGGATAAGAGAAAGTTCATTTTGGAAATGTGGAAAAAACGTTCTGCCACGTGGCTTTTTAGAACCATCAGCTACTTAACTGTCCATTAAAGGGAAGCTGATGGTTAACCCCTTTTCACAGTAGTCATAAAATGCTCTTTCCACCTGTTCTGGATGTCCATCATGCTTTTTTTTCTTTCAATAATGTTGAGGCAATATATTTTGATGGAATGTGTCTTACAAACCTGGGAACAAACTGGATTTTCATTTCTGTAGGTGAGAAAGCAAGTCAACATTCATAAAAGTGTATTTATTGTGTTTAAATACTGTTTTTTTACTGCAGCACATTGTATACAGGAATTTAGGTATGAAGAAAGCTGCAGCTGTCCTGTCAGTTTTCTCTTACCACAGTTGTCTTTGTGGAGAGGTATGAATTGTTTTTACAGCAGAGGTTTCTCAACCCTCCGCTTTTGCCCCTCATTGCTCACTAGAAGCTCAACACAGACATTTCACAGAGCCAACAGTTTCCCTTTTCTGATAACAGTGTTACAGGGGAAAATATTTTATTCTAGCATTTTAATTAAAAATATCCAGGTCACTAGGGGATTTGCAGAATGAAGCTACTTGCCATATCAATAACTGTGATTAATAATTTAATTGTGTATTAACTGTAAAAGTACAAGCCTAACGTGGCCAAATTAGCTGATTAGCTATTTTGTTAACACGGGTAATTTTTCAAAGTGCCAGTATCCACATAATGAAATCACTACTCGGTTATTCATTTTCATCACAGGAAAATATACAAACTAACAATTCAGTGAAACAGTGGTTTTATGTTTTAACAGCGCTGTAAAATGTGGTGAGTTTACTTGTATTTACAAGTATGTATGTGCAATTAATACACTTTGCTACTGTGAAACACAAGTACTTTAACATGAGGGGATTGCCAAGGATGCACTGATTCGGATGTGAATGAGAAGGCAGAGATACCGTGGCTTTATTGCTTACTAAGCTAGCTACTCTAGCTGATGTTAGCTAGGTCCAGTAACAGGGTGCATTTCTCTGACAATCTCACATGTTGGCACATTGTCCACTGAGGAGAAAAGACCTGTAAGAAGATGAAGTGTCCTCATCAGCATCTAGCCTTATACTAGTTAGTTGTACTTTTAGTTCATTAGCTTATTAGAGGCAGTCTCTATTACTCATCCAACATGAAAATCTACCAATTTCCTTCAGTTATTATTTTTTTTATAAAACTTGTTTATAAAAGAAGTGTGCTATCACTTAAAACAGTCTACAGCCCTGGGTTTAGGGTATTTTTTATTTTGACACATTTAACTGATTTTAACGCTTATAGATACTCAAATAGCAAAAATAAGTTGGGAAAGCACATCCCTACTATTGATTTGCTCCCAACTAATGGCAGACAAGCACTACTGCTGCCCTCTAAAGGTGTTATAGCACAACTTTTGCATTGGTATATATACATATAGTAACAAGATTTTTATATGACAGTGACAATTTTTCAGCATGCACACAATGAAGCACACTACGGAGCAATGTTGAGACAAAAGGAACAATTGCAGAATGTTAATAGAAGTTAAAGAGTTCAGTCTTCTGTGCCTAGTGATGAACTTCTAAATGAATGTAAACGGCTAGTCCCTGTAGTGAGGTTCTTTAGCTCTAAGAAGTCCAGAAGGAGACTGTGCTGGAACGCACTCCGCTCTCTAAATGGCTTTTATGCAGAACTAACACAACCAGAGACTTTCTTTCTGTCTGAGACTCTACCACAGTGGGGGATACACATATAGAACAGACGGATTCTAAGTCTCTAAGGCTGGCTTAGTTGAAACAATGTCTAAATAATATGTTATATCACGCAGAATGAAATTTGATTTTCCATAAATTAAGGGAGCCGACAATGTTGTTCACAATATGAGCTGGTCAGAAACAAAATAGCAAATCCAATATAAAGGGAGCCAGAAGATATTGCAAAAACATAGAGCGTAACTACCCAACATTTCTTTCTCCTTTTGAAATTAAAACCAGTAATTGCATTGTGCTAGCACCCAATCATTGCTAATCTGCTATGGGAGGAGAGTATGCTGAGGATATAGCTCATCAAAACTGATTACCCCAGGGACACCCCCACCATCACCATGACTCCTAATGTATTAGTGACCACTGCATAAGTTAAGCCTTGCTAGAAAGCAAGGGAAGCTATTTAATTACATGCAGTTCAGTCAGACCACAGCATTTTCCTTTTGTACTGCACAGTATAGCTCAGTTATTTGTAAAGGTGGAAAAATAAATGCAAGTGACAGACAGTAAAATTGGATAAAATGACTATGGCAGTTTTTACACATTTCATTGGAATAGCTTCTAGTTTCAGTGATTTTCTTTCATTTATCTTAAAAATAAGCCATCGGTCCATTACCGTTTAAATCAATTATAAGTACATGTAAGCGGTATAAAAAAGTGCTATAGACAACTGATGTGTATATGTTTTCAGCAACTTTAATTCTAAAGAGTATTTGCACTGCAAAAACATCACTGGCGCTAGACTGGAAGTGTAGTGTTGTGACTAAAGTATGAAGCTGCTAATGGAACGTACAGTAGTTTATGAAGAAGACAGAGCCGCTTTGATTTGTATTTAAGTAAATGTAGTGGATTCTTAATGCCTCGGCTGTTTCAATTACACTAATGTGTTCCATCTCTGACTCTTATTTAGAACTCAGATTAAACTTTTTAATTTGTTGCTCCTTTGATGAGATTCAATTTGCTGCCTCACTGGGGAAAAAATTATTTATCTAAATGGCACTTTAGATATTCCTCAACGTTTGATTTCCTTATTGAAATTAGGGAAAAGAGGAAGATGTCTGAAGCAATTCGAGCCCCATAAACTGCAAAGTTTATGAATGATGGCATTCAGCATAATACAACAAATAGTCATTAGCAATACTCTTGTATTATCTATGATTAATATGTCATACGGCAGTGGCTGTGAAAGCAGTCTTCACTAGCCTCAGAATTTTGTGCAGTGAAAACTCCAACTCCGAACCAGGACATTTTCTTTGCAATACTCAGTTTAAAACTAATAATTAAAGTGTTTTAACCTACATATTTGCCTTCATTTTATTTGACTAGTTGCTGTAGTGATTACAAATGAAAGCTGGAATCTAAATGACTGAGATTTCCCATTGTGTTACTTCTGCTGCGTCCCAAACTGCATACTAGCACACTAAAAAGTATGTAAAAATAGTGCTGTACCATTAGACGTGTACTCATAGTATGCAAGGTATAGGAATGTGCAGTTTCAGATGCAGCATTCAATCAGCCAGTGAGATGAGATGCATTTAAGGTGGAATGGAAAATTTGAATAAGAAGCTGGTAAATAAGAACCCAGCTGCAGCTTCATATGTATGTATATGTTAATTATTTAAGGGCTTTGGCAGTTTTTGGTAGCCATTTTCATTAGATTTTGTAAAATGTCATGCACTGGAATTTTCTGAACTTGAGAGGTGTGCAGGTTACACAGATCCAGTCCACCAATATAGCTAATCTGCTCCTCATAGTGTTTCTGGAAACTGCATCTAAAGTGTCCACATATCTTTTCATCTTTTTTGTAGTCATTCTGGCAATACTGCTTGGCCTTTATCCATCTGCAGGATTGTAGCAGCTGCAACGGTATACCAAAATGCCCACCAAAATGTAGTTCTACAATTACAGACTGTAGTCCATCTGTTTCCCTGCATACTTTGTTAGCCCCCTTTCACCCTGTTCTTCAAAGGTCAGAACCACCACAGTATTATGTGGTATTATGTGGGTGGTGGATCATTCTCAGCACTGCAGTAACACTGATGTGGTGTTGTGCTGGTACAAGTGGATCAGACACAGCTGGAGTTTTGCTGGAGTTTTGAAACACCTCAGTGTCACTGCCGGATTGTCGTCCACCAATCAAAAATACACAGGCAGCGTCCTATGACCACTGGTGAAGAACGAGAGGCTAGCACAAACTGTGCAGCTATCGTCTCTGACTTTACCTCTTCAGGGTGAAGCAACAAAGTAGGTGTGTGTAACAGAGTGGACAGTGAGTGGACACATTGTTAAAAAACAGCACTGCTCTGTCTGATCCACTCTCACCAGCACAACACACACTAACACACCACCATGTCAGTTTCACTGCAGTGTTGAGAATGATCCACCACCCAAATAATACCTGCTCTATGGTGGTTCTGTGGGGGTCCTGACCATTTAAGAATAGGGTGAAAGAGGACTAACAAAGTATGCAGGTTGTAGATTGTACCTACTAAAAAGTGCACCTATATGGTAAGTGGAGCTGTTTTACTGCCTCAATATTTTAACATATCCATTGATGTTTAGATAAAATTATTATTAACATAAGAACTTGATTGCTAGTATTTAGCTTTGTTTCTATTCTCGAGATGAATTTCATACTCAACCACAGTGGAAGCAAAAACATATGGAAATACATCACAATCCACCACTTTCAAATGAGCAGAAAAAAAGTCCCAGGCCAATTAGAAGATGTGTTCTGCTCTTCATCAGATCTTATCTCAGGACAGAAATAAATGCACAACTTTTGAAGAATATTGTGTCACCATATTATTAGTATATTACAGTCTAAAAGCAATTTTACTGGAAGCCTATGGGAGGTAAGTTTGTTTCATATTCTGCGAAAACTGGAAAAAATGTTATTTGACTTTTCCTCTAATGTTTCCCACGCATTGGTACGAGTGACTGTATACATTGGTATGTTTTCAGCACAAGAGGTAGTTAATTTTTAATACGTGCTGTATGGCTGAGAGTTGGAGTGTGGACTTAATGTGCGATGCTCAGTGACCTCTCAGAGGCTGCAAGATTCTCTCGCGCCTCTGCACACTGCATTACTATGAGCTCCCCAGGCATTTCATCCATCAAGCGAGCCATATTTGTTTTTTCACTGCTGATTTTTAGATATTGCAAATGCTGTTTCAATTTGAAGCGCCCTAAAAAAAAAAAAACAAGAGCAGCTCGGTTGATGGATGACTTTGACCCTTCTTTCAGCGGACGGACTTCAAAGACGGACCGACTCCTGAGCGCAACTTTTTCTTCATCACATCCCTTTAGAATGCTTGTTGTCGGACTTGAAGGGGATAATGGAGATTTTCCTTCAACGCTGCCCGTTCCCTCCGGAGACAGAAAGCACGGCCTCTAAAAATAGCCCCTCTATATATCACACATTGCTGTGATGTGTAAACTGACTTGCATAATGGGTTTATATTAACCTTCCAACTGGAGGACATATTCAGCGCCTGTGTACTGTGCTTAACTTCTCTCATTTGTTGCACTGTGTCTTTTTGTGAAGAGGGATGAATGACGGAGGCCTTAATATACTACATTATAGTAAATAATTCAGGTTCTTCTTGCATCAGGTTGTTTTGACCTTACAACACAGTGTTTTTGCCATACCTCTAGTGTCCCCGTGGCTGAGTAGGCTGCAAAGGCGAAGTGCTGCTCAGAAGATGATGCATTGCTCCAATTTTCACAACTGGCTCCATTGGGCAGGTAACAATGGTTACTGGTCACATCAACCACTGTATTGGGGAAGGAGCCGGGGCGACTGAGGAGGACGTTGTAACTGGACCGCTGGACATTCTTCAGACCAAGCTCCTCCCACTGCTGGGCAAGGCGCTTTGTCCGGGCCTCCTCACCGACCTCGGCTAAGGCGTTAAAATCCCTGTGGGGTTGGTAAAAAAGAGAAAATATATATCGATACATGCATCCATCACACTGAGAGTGTCAATAAAAGCAGAACTGACAAGACAGCGCTTAACAAAGCCCAGATGAATATGTAAGAGGCTCATCATCATTAGCCTAATTAGTACGCTGTTGACTTTGGGTTAACACTGGCATCCCTCAAAGGTATTTGTATGGTGTGCTGATGTAGAGCTAGCACTCTGTGAGCCGTAGCAAAGAAGCCTGGGACTGAATTCAAGACAGGCCTCCACAATTTCAGTTTTGGACAAGCTTCAGTTAACGCAACTGATGAAAATGGCTTTGGAATCAATTGTCTCCTGACCAAATGGAGGCACCATTTTCAAAAAAAAAAAAAGTATAGTAGGGAGGGAGTGGATTATCAACAGATGGTTTAGCATGAAGCAGGGAAATGAAGCGATGATAAGGTGCGGCATCACTGCTTATGCAGATGACAAACTGCATAGAGCACTGTAATTTTCAACTTAACATTGCTCCCGAGTTTCAAGCTTATTAGATTACAAAGACATGCTCCGTTATTTTAGGACAACTAAGTGGCAGCTTTACCAGCGGATTTGCTTAAACCCCAGTCAGGAACTGCTGAAACAGCACAAAGGCTGAAACAGCAGGAACAGTGTTAGTGAAGATTGAATGACAGCAAAGAAAACAGTAATTGATGGGTATAAAATCACAGCAGCACCAAAGTAACAACAGTCATCCCACATTTGCATTGTTACTTGAGCGCTAGATGAAAACCCACAGAAGACTGATCTTCTCATTCTATTCCTCATTCTGTTGAAGCTTGGGGTTTTCAGCATTTGGTTTAATGGTAGTAATCACAGAAAGTGTACTTCAAGCAGGACTTTTGTATTGTATATTTTAGGTTTTTGCAATAAATCATTTTTTTATATTTAGATTTTATACTACACAACACAGAGACTATAGGCACCATGGATAGATACTGCTACATTTTGCAATTATAGTTGCAGTTACTATTGATTATACTGGCAATTGTGTAATCTACCAATTTTGAAGATTACTTGACAAGTAATCTGTTTTTTTTTAAATAATAAAAATAGGCTTAATTGGACAATAACATACAATGCAGAGCCTTTCAAATGTTCCCCAATTACGTATATACATAATAAAATGAAGCTTCTGAAAACAATTCAATACAATGCTTGCTAAGGTCACTTAAGAAATTCTGAGAAATCATTAATCGGCTTTCAGACAGTCATTTCAAGAACTTCTGCGGAGCCATTCAGTCCAGACCTAGTTAAACAAAACCTTCTATTTCTTGTACACTTTTACTTTGTATACAAACATTTTGTATGTGTAAAATGATTTAAGTACTTATAGCTCCCCCTGGTGGAGAACTTTCAGGCTGCTGAACAAAGCCTTACGGAAACCCTGTTCATCATTCACTATGGAAACTAAGTTGATTCATAAAAACTAAGTTGATTAATGAAAACATACATTTTATAACTGGAGTAATCGATTTTAATCAAGTAACATATTTGTAGTCGTGTAATCGAGTAATCGTGACAGCCCTAACTGCAAATGCAATATACCTTCCAATATATTAAAAACACCTTAGTGAAGCCTTGATGTGACTTGCTTAAGAATTGGCCGGTGCTATTTTTGACTGCAATTATTATTTTTTTTTTTGGATCATGTGAATATCTTGATTCTTCCAAACACCCAAAGAACACCTGCGATTGGTCAGGATGCTCATAGCAAATATAAAACATAACACTTCCTACAAATCCTGTATTTATAAATGCTTTTATAAGGTGTTATATGGAATACAAAATACCTTATAATGCCCGCCATTGCCAGTTAGATTTACTTATCTTACTTACAGCCTGTAAATAGCAATAATAATGCTCTATAAAATATTATGTACTAAAGTTAAAATTCTTTAACATTTAAAAGACACCCTTGTTACATTTAAACTTTTTAATGCCCTGGCACAAAGCTCTATAAAGCGTTTTATTGCATTACAACATAAGTGTGTACAATGTTCTTATGAACAAATATTATAATACATTACGGAACCTGACTTTATAAAATTCATACACTCGTGAATTATAAAGTGTTATGCATGTAATTATAACTACTTGAATATGACAAAAAAGTTTGTTAATAATATAAGTATCTGTAAATAATTTATAGGGCACCTTTAAAATAGTGTGACTGGTATTATGTATGCCATATAACACCTTATAAATGCATTTATAGTGCATTTTGAACACAGGATTCATAGGACATGTTCCCGAAATGATATGTTGAGCAGACCTAAATTAAACTCAAAACACTTCAGCAAGTCAACATCTCTATGGCACGTCCAGGAATCAAACCAGAAACCCTACAGACCCATCATATGGGGCCATATCAGGCCCTACTATGAAGACCTTACTCATTGCATCATTGCTTTACATATACAGAAGAAAATCTAGCCCAGCACTAGTAACACTTCCTTATCAAGCTTCAGTCTATGTTATAACTATAGTCTCTACATAATCTATTGCACTCACAAGCCATTAAGCCTATTATCTTCATTAGTTAATGAAGGGCAACTGTGAACTGTGTGTAAAGTTAGCTTTAACAATCAGTTGCTAAGTTGAGACATGCTAATTCACTACAATTACTGTTGAGTAGTCTCAGTACTTTTTGCACACAACAGCAATGATAAACTGTCTAATTACTCCTTTGCCTATTCATTCTAATATGTTTTCATTTATGTGGTTAAAACATAACAAAAATGAATACTACATACCTCCTGCATTCAAAAACTGGCAGTGCAAAAGAATTTTCCCCCTACCTCCTATCAATTTTAAACATTTTCCCCATCTTAAAGGCGGCGGAATTGTGTTCTTTTTCATCTGTAATTACTGATTGGTCCCAAGGACATGCTGCTGTTCTTTCTTTAAGACAATAAAATACAACAAAATGAAATCCAGCAGCTTGCAAACCTTTCAAAGAGACTTCTAATGTTTTAATGCTGCCAAAATTATATAAACCTTGACAGAACCATTCAATTCAATTCACTTTATTCATATGTGGGTTTATTATACCCACCACAACTAAACAGAGACTAAACATAGCTGTTTCATAACAGACAATACTTTCCTACTGTTGTACTGAGCATTCTACTTTAGGTTATGATTGACTGTAGTGATGTACAATCCATGTTGACAGTACACAGAAGCAGAATCTATCTGTCCTTAACCCTTTAAAGCCAAGGCAAAAAAATCTACTTTTGTCCCTTAACAAGCTTTTATTTTGCTATGTAGAGAATATGATCTAACTCCCATTTTGAACAAGTAAACATGAAAAGGAATATATTTCATAGCTTTAATGTTATTCTGATAACACAAATCAATTATAATCTCTTAGTGATCTAACTTCTGTTGTGAATGTGTGCTCAAGCAACATCAACACAAGAGCTTCATGAACTGAGTTTCCATGGCCAAGGGGATGCACACAAGCTCACTATGTGCAATGCCAAGTGTCAAGCCACTGGACTCTGGGGCAGTGGAAACATGTTCTCTGGAGTGATGAATCACACTTCACTATCTGGCAGTCTGATGGATAAATCTAGGTTTGCTGGATCCCACAAAATCTCAAGAGACTTACCAGAATGCATAGTGCCAACAGTGAAGTTTGGCAGAGGAGGGATAATGGTCTGGGGCTGTTTTTTAGGGTCTGGGCTAGGACCCTTAGTTCCAGTGAAGGGTAATGCTAATGCTACGGCATACAAAGACATTTTAGACAAACACATGCTTCCAACTTTGTGGCAACAGTTTGGGGGCTCTGTTCCAGCATGATTATGCACAAAGTGAGGTCCATAAAGACATGGTTTGACATGTTTGGTGTGGAGGAACTCCAGTGGTCTGCACAGAACCCCGACTTCAACCCCATTCAGCACCTTTGGGATGGACTTGAACGTCAATTGTGAGCCAGACCTTCTTGTCCAACATCACTGTCTGACCTCACAAATGCTCTTTTGACTGAATAGACACAAACTCCCACAGACACACTCCAAAATCTTGTGAAAAGCTTGCCAGAAGAGTGGGGACTGTTATAGCCATAAAGAGGGTGCAATATAATACCGTAGGTGGTGCTGGGCTGAATAATTGCAGTGCTTAAACTGTAATCCTAATAGAGCGGTGGGACAGAGAAAGATATAAAAGGGTAAGTCTACTCGTGGTTTGGCCACTGAATCTTTTGGTATATAATAAAAATCTCCACTTTCATGAACATTCTTTTTTATTATTCTGTCAGAAGTTTATCTTTGTGGTCATTCTATCCTTTGAGCTGGGGAATAAAGTCATTCATATCCTTTATCCAAGCAGATGGAATTAATTAGTTGATGTGAAAAAAAAAACAATGTAGCAAACTAGTTTTAGCACTTTACACAATGCCAACATGGCTTATAATGTAAAAATAGATTATTTTTGATGTGAAGAGACTTTGAAGTCACACACTTTCAACATGATATAGGACCTTTGAAATCATTCAAACAGCAAATTGTTCATGCAGCTGCATTATTACCTGTCATGTTTTTTTTTTTTCAGTTGTGAATTCTTACTTGGAGGTTTTGCTCTATTTGGCTTTACATGAATCTTTATATTCCTCTACTTAACAATAGTGGAGAACAAATCATCTTGTAAACTGAAGGTCAACATTACAGCAAGATATACATATATCCAAAGCACAAAATCATCTCAAATGTGTTTTTACTATTCTAGCATTCCACTATTCACACACATAGCATTTAAGATAAGATATTAAATAAAGCCCAGGGCAAAAAAGCAGCAAAAAAATTGCAAAATTTTACAGAAATGTACAAAGTGGGAGCAAAAGTGCCTCCAAACTGAATTTCATATTATTGACATATTGTTCACTGACACTGATGTTAATTCTCTTAGGCTGAACATCCATGGGCAGGAAAGGTTGAAACATAGTGTTTAATTTAAA